TGAGATGAGGACAGAGGTAGAGGCATCGCCAAGAATGTCCCCAACACACAACATGGGCCAACTCTATCCGCCGCGCTATGCAGGAATAGAGGCAATTGCAGTTGAGCCGCATGGAGATGAGGATGTGGACACGCAGCTGATGCCGGACGAAATCCTTGAGGAGCAGTGGATGAGTTATGGAGGTGAAGAAGGAGATGATTCCCCAGAGTTATCAGAAGAGGAATGGGAAATGCTCGACAAGGAAGCACGCAACACAGAAATCCAAAGGATGTTGGAACTGCCAGCCATGGTGGAGACAGACAGAGCAGAGGTTGAGCAGACCAATGGGTACATCATCAGCACGAAGATGGTCATGTGCTGGAAGCACCGTCTCGAGAGAGGCGGGTGGTTTCGAAGAGCTCGACTGGTGGCCCGACAGTTCAGAAATAGCATAGATCTCGAGGCCACATTCGCTCCCACATCGATGATGATGTTGCCAAAGATGTTGCTTCACTACATGCTCAACGTGAGGAGTGAGTTTGTGGTTGTCACCTTGGACATCAAAGACGCCTTCCTCATGGCGGCGCAACCAGAGGCTGAGAACGCCTATGTGCAGATCGATGACCGCATCTACAAACTCCTCAGATGCCTCCCAAGACAGAGAACAGCTGCTTCACAATGGTTCAGCTTGTTTGCGTCGGCTTGCAGGGACTTTGGAATGGAGCAAGACCTCATGCAGCCCACGCTGATGCTACTGCCCAACATCTTGTACCTGACGGTGCATGTGGATGACATGTTCATGGTTGGGCGAGAAGACAAGGTGAGAGAGCTGATACAGTACTTCAAGGAAGAGAAGCAGTGGAATGTGGAGGAAAAGGGCCCATTTCGACAAGGAGACAAGTTCTTCTACTTGAAGAGACAGTTCAACCTGAGCCGGAAATGTTGTGACATCAGATGTGATCGAAAGCAATATGATAGCTTCGAGAAAGATGTTGACATCTACTCCAAGTTCTACAGAAAGACCCCCTTGGACGGCAACTTCACGAAGAAGGACGACTCAGAGGTCTTGGAGGGGGATGAAGTCACAAAATACAGGAGCATAGTGGGACGGCTCATGTACATGGCCGGTGAACGCCCTGACGCACAATACGCCATCCAATGTCTTGCCCGACACATGGCAAAACCCACAAAGCACGCCTTGAAGAACGCCTGGCGCACATGTTCCTACATGTTTGGAACAAGTGGGTATGGAGTGAGGCTCGAGGAACGCAAGAGAGGCCAATCGATGATGGACTTCCGAGAAAGTGAGGAGGTTGAGGATGCAGAGGAGCACCTGGTGGAGATCGTCACAGATTCTGACCATGCAGGAAACAAGAACGATCGCAAGTCAACATCCTCCATGCAAGTGTTCATCGACGGGAACCTCTATCGGCATGCTGGTCAGACACCTGTGGAACCAGATCACAGGAGGAGCATGCAAGATGAGGGCGAGATCCGATAGCTCGGCAGCCAGAGGGATGACCCAAAGGCAGGGGATCGGCCGTGTCAGAGATCTGAACGCTTCCATGTTGTGGATACAACAAAAGGAGCGTGAGAAAGCGCTCTCAGTGGCCGCAATCCCAACAGACCTCAACAGCGCCGACGTCGGCGCCAAGAACTTGCCGAAGAAACGACTACGAGGTCTTCAGTACATGCTCCACCTGGTGGACTCGGTGGGTGACCGCGTGGGAGAGCAAGAGTTCCGGGAGATCGAAGAGGAGCACCAACTCAGGCAAGGGATGAAGAAGTTTGGAAAGAACAAAGATCTCAGGATTGGGCTCCTTATGCTGCTGACTACAATCAACCAAGTCGGCAGCACCGCAACGGAAGTGAAGGAGAAGGATGAAACAGACTGGATATGGATGATGCTATGCAGCTTGGCTTGCGTCGGGGCCTTGAGCCTAGCCAGTTGGCTTCGGAGCTACACCGCTGAGTTCCTCGATGGCACGAAGGCCTTCATCAAGGAGAATGTGGAGGCCACGATGCAGTTCAGGAAGCTGAACATGAAGGTACAGATTGAGAGGGTGGACCAAGAAACCCAAGTCTCTGTACCTGATGGCCGCCGTGAGAGTGAGTTGGAAGAAGTGTGGCGCCAATGCTTCCTGAAAGACCGGTACATAGAGGAACTTGAACAAGATTTGAAGGAAGTAAGAGCACGTGTAGCTGATTTTTTGCAAGAGCGAGAAATCGCTGAAAAGCACAGCTCCAAACTTGAGGAGCGCATGCGTAGGCTGAAGATGACATCAGCCGGAAGGGTCCTGCATTTTGCAGGAGGCTGCCCGGACTACAGGCAGGGACAGCCCATTAGGTTGTGTCACGTATGCCTAGGCGAAGGAGGAGTGACTGATTCCAGTGCAAGTACGTAAGGCAGTCACCTAGGCATACTGACAGGTTTATGCACGACGGCCGCATAGGCCCAAGTTCCAGCAAGAAAAGCTGCGCCCGCGCTTTTTCATCATATATACTTTCCGTGAGCTTTCACTTCACGACATAGGGGCTTTGATTCCATAGCGTGTGCATGAGCTGGCGGGCATGATTTACAGAGACCCCCCACATGGGGGGCGTTGATCTATAGTATGAAATTGGGCTACCCAAGTAGCCATATGAATTTCAAAGAGAGTTATTTATCTGTCTTTACTAATAAAATGCAATTGCTGTTTTTGTTCCGTGTGATGATTCTTTCGTTTGCTTGTGCTGACCATTGTTGGAATACACCTACATAGAAAGAAACTTCAAGTTTTTCCTGCTCTCATAGAACAAGTTACACGTATATACGATATATATATATATATACATAAATTCTGGATCTCTTTCAAAGATGCTTGGGAATCCACACTGTCTGGCAGTGCTCGGTACCATCTGCACTTATATTTGCAGTGTAAACATGCAGTTCGTAACCTTTGCGAAACTCTCACACGTACATGCCAACTCTTGTTGAAGCAATGGCCAAATGTGCAGTTCCCCAAGTCGGGACTTCCCTGTCCCTCCTAGTGAGGTTTTAGTGGATCTTTTGAGCAACTTGTGGCCAACGATCTCAACGATGCCTGCGTTTGAAGCGACGCAGATGATTGCAGTTGATTTGTCAGATGCTTGGAACATACCGAATGGAAGAATGGCACCAAACTAAGAGCGATGGCCTCCAACCTAGCGATGGTTTCTGCACGTTGGAGGGTGATCCGGAGGTTCTTGAAACAGAAGCCTTTTCCAGATGATCTTGGGCACCCTAGCACATCCCAGGATCATGTTTGTCAGTCTGATCCTCTATCATTTGCAACCTTGACCCTGTTTCGTGCGTCTTTTACTTCGTCACAGTTGGCGGTATTGGCTTTGTCGGGTGTGCTTACCGTTCCCGTGGTCGGTCAAGCATGGTCGGTCAAAAGTCTGTAGGCTCCAACACGCCGCTTGTAGAGGAAAATGACTAAGCCTTGGTTAGGCCCTGTGCCTTGTCATGTTTTGGCCCATACCATACCCATATACTACAATACGGTACATACCTTTCGGCGCAAACGCATGGGACACTCAGCTGCCTTGGAAAACATATATTTTTTGTGTTGTTTCCAGGTGACACGAAACACTGTCGTTCCATGTTGTCAGATGTCCATCTGCTGCGACCACCAAAAGCCCATTTACTCCATTTATTGTTGGCAATCCTCGCTTTGCACAGCGGTGAGTGAGCATTACTGTATCAAAGCACGCGACAAGTGTTTAAGATTGCTGCCCATAGTAAGCCCTAAAAGGACGTAATAACACCTTGTCCCATAGGACTACGGAGATTGCAGATGACGTTAATGACGGGTCACTTCTCGTCCGGCCTCCAAAAACTAAGGACATGAGCGAGTTCATAGCGGCAGTGCAGAACCGCTTTGTCTTTCAGACATGCGTCTCCAGGTACGTCTACTGCGGTAGTTTGAAGACGAAGATTGACGCGTTCATATGAAATCAATGTCAACCATTTGGAGCATCACCTAACAACGACAACTGCGGGAGCATGTTTTCTTCTCATCTGAATGACTCAACGGCCCGAGGTGCAAGTACCACTTTTCCGGAGATCGTGTGAGGGTGGAGATGACTGGAGGCAACTGGGGTCGAACCAATGACCCTGATACAGACATGACCAGCTTGGCCTACATCGTGAAGGAGCGGGTTTAGAAAGCTCTGAAAGCTCTGCGAGCGTCGTTTCGACACTTTAAACGCGATTCGCAGTTTGATACCTCGATTTCTGTTTTTTTCCTAGTTTCACCAAAGGCATGTGGCGACAGCTTGGATATTCCAAGCTACACAAAGGTGACCTGCAGGGGTGAAGTCCTTGCACTTGGCAGGATGTGCTCATGAAGCAGCAAGTTATGGAAGCTTATATAATGCGCAACAACAGCTGAGTGCAAATATGGAAAGAGCAGGGCTGCGTCTTCGACTCTTTCGGCTGAGCCAATTGGAGAATTGGGGTGACTGAGTCAGGGTCAGGGAGTCTTTGGATAATGTGTGCGCGCTGGGACAGTAGTGCTGAGCAGAAATCCCTTAAAGGGGGATAGGCATTGAGTCAGCTCTTGGGGCAGTTTTCAGCCATTTCACAGCGCAGAAGCGTAGAAAGCCTGGAGTGCCTCCTCAAGGAGGCAAACTTTTGGCAAGTGAAAAATTGAGGGCTAGATGACCTGACCTGAACGACTGGATGACTGGACAACTGGCTAGAAACAGATCTAGACCCAGAAGATGTGGGAGGGGAGGACAACTGAGGACCGCAGATCGTCCGGGGAATGGTTGGTTCGTTTTTTCCCTTTTGACCTCCTTTGACCGGCATTTGGCATGACCCAGTTTTGGTCGCTAGACTCGGGACTGAGACCCGGAGGACGACTTTGTCGCTTCGCCGTCTGATGTCGGTACCAGAGCAAGAGGGCGAAGAGGGGAGATGGTGGGAGATGATTTCCTATTTTGATGCATGCTTATGGATCTTCATTTGTCATCCACTTCTGGCTTTTGGTTTGTAGGCCTCCTATGAGCTTCTCATCACGGAGGACAAGAAGCTGGCAGATCTGGCTCGCTTGAGAGACGTCTGAAAATGCTTGAACACGTTGAAATATTGGTCGATTGCAGTATCCGAAGGCGGGCAATTGCCCATCAAGTGTTCCGATAAATCTTGATACTTGCCACATCATTTAATTTGGTGAAGTGCATACTGGTCCTTCTAGAGGCACACAAGCGCTTTCCGATTGTCGCCTCAGCACTGTTGATGCTAGCTGCTAGCACGCGATGTTTGGTAGCATGTTGTCTTGGGTTGAGGAGGAGTCTCCAGGCAAGATTATCCAGTCTTTCCATAGGAATGACACGCGTTTCAATTCATGTATAGAGAGAGTTACAGTATCACTTATCAAGTGTGCGCTTGATATGTATCTTTTGGACACAGATGGATCTTTGGTTCGATCGGGCCCGATTCAGTTTGAGGGTCCTTATTGCGGGCTTTGCTACAGCATTAACCATTGCGTATGCAGTCTACGGTATACCAGTATCCGTGCATCCAGCAGTACCATGCCAACAACATATCAACAAGGCTATCGTGCTAGTGCCGGCAAGGATTTGTGTATGAGAAAAGAACCTGAACCTGGGCAAGTACTCTAGAAAGAGATGGGCAACATCACGCATTAACAGAACGGAAGAAAACACACCAGGAGATGTACATACTGACTGTTATATACATACTATGCAAGAGGCATGGTAGCAACCACAACAGAATTCCTGTTGTGATTCACCAAGTTCTGCCCACACACCGCCCAAGCTGCATAGCTA